GAATTAAGACAGACAGCTGAGGTTGATAATAGTCTTCACAAACAAAGAAGGGTCTTGTTTTCTCGAACAATATATTTAGAGCACTTCTACGAAGGAATTGAATTGGAGATTCGGTAAATCATCGCAACATCTCTTGGTACTTACTATGTAAATAAATTACCAGGAAGTGATACGTTTTACCTTGAGGGATATTTTTTAAACTTATTTTTGATATGTTTCCAATATAAACCTGTATGAAGGATAGATATTTATAATTGAATCAATCGTGCTTGCTAAATAATATGCTAAAAAGAATTTCAAGTTAGCCTCATTTACAAAAATCAATTTAAAGATTTTCGTTTATAAATATTATAGCAATTTCATTTCTCTCTATTTTAAAATTACTTCGAATAAATTTATAACCATCTAAAATGAATCCAGATACTAATCAAAAAAATGAATTCAGAAATATTGCAAACATAAAATAAAAAAAAACATTCTGTATTCCAGTTCATTTGGAGTCGATCACTGATAGCAAATGCTCCAAATAATTTAAACTTGTGATTATTATATTTCAGTTTTTGTAGTCTGATTATAAAAAAACGCTGAACACCCCCAATGTTTAAAATATTTACATAACTTAATTCAGGGTGCGTAGCCAAATTATTCAATAAAAAATAAGCACCTTTTAAGCACTCAAAAAATATTTTTAAGCACTTTAAAAAATATCATAATTTGGCAGGGTTGGAAAGTTTTTGACAATTGACGGTTTTATGTTGTTTTAACCGTCATGTCAAAAAAATAGCATTTTGGCATTGTTTTTGACAATTGCCAAAAATCATGAAATTTTGAATCACGTAAAACGAATGGCGTTTTCATACGCTACTGACTGAAAATACGCCGAAATAGATTGGGGTTGAATTAATTGTTAAAACGTTGAATCGAACAATGTGAACTGTGACTCTTGCATAATTCGTAGCGAAAATCAACGTGGTAAAGGAAAAATCTCGTTTTGAAAAAAAGGAAAATTAAGCGTTTTTTATAAATACCCAATGAAAAAAGCACCTTTAAGGGCTTTTAAAAAACAAAAATCAAAAATAAGCACCTTTAAGCACTTTTTAAAAACGCTACGCACCCTGTAATTGTTATCATGAATTTATATTATTTTGTAAAATCTTCTGGGATTTTTCCTTTTCTTATACAAGGCAGTTATCGATAAAAAAAAATTTAAAAAAAACCTAATAAAACATATCTGAAAATGCTAACAATTCTGAAATCTGTTCAACAAAACTGATGTGCAAATATTTTTTTCTCTTCCAGAACCAAAATTAAACATACAACATGTTTACCAAAGAAGTTCGACAACCTTTTTTTTCTAGTTTCCTTTCTCCAGTGTCTGTAAACGATTTAACAACGTTTTAACCATGCTCTAAGCTGATCAACTTATACTGCTTCTAAGAATAATGCTTGCGAGATGACGTCTGAAAATATGAAAGTGACAGGTGTCGCCAAGAAAACACGGAAGTCTTCGAAGAACATACCAGTTCCCTTTTTTTACAGGAACAACACAAAACTTTTTATTCGTTTCATTTAATATTAAAGAAGAAAAAAAAAACATTAAACCTGAACAATAATACCAGTTCACAACTACTGAATTGTAGGGCTCCAATTTCATTATTTTACTTATTTCCTTATTGCGAGTTGTAATTAAAATATCATAGAAGAATTATCTTAAAATATCAGACTCAAAACTCATGAAGCTTTAGGGAATTAAAAAGTTTATCGAAACAATTTTGAATAACCATGTGCACGAAAAAAGGCGTACTCAAATATAATGTAACTCGATCAGGGTGCGTAGCCAAATTATTCAACAAAAAATAAGCATCTTTTAAGCACTTTTCAAGCACTCAAAAAATATTTTTAAGCACTTCTAAAAATATCACAATTAGGTAGGGTTAGAAAGTTTTTGACAATCGACGGTTTTATCTTGCTTTAACCGTCATGTCAAAAAAAAAAAAAAAAAAAAAAAAAAAGAAAAAAAAAGAAAAAAAAACTTTTGGCATTATTTTTGACAATTATCAAAAATCATAAAATTTTGAATCATGCAAAACGAATGGCGTTTTCATACGCGATGGACTCACTTTACGCCGAAATAGATTGGGGCTGAATTAATTACGAAAACGTTGAATAGAACAATGTGAACTGTATCTTTTTGCATAATTCGAAGCAAAAATCAACATAGTAAGGGAAAAATCTCATTTTGAAAAAGGGAAAAGGAAGCACTTTTTAAAAACACCCAATGAAAAAAGCACCTTTAAGGGTTTTTAAAAAACGAAAATCGAAAATAAGCACCGTTGAGCACTTTTTAAAAACGCTACGCACCCTGTCGATAATAATGAGTACGTAGGGNTTTGTCTAATTTAGAAATTTATGTAAATCAACACGTTAAACATTAAAATTAACTGAAAACAGAGTTGGTTTCAGTTTTAGAAGTAAAAATCGATTATACGACGTTATCGTTTATACGACGTTTTTCGGTGGTCCCTTCGGCGTCGTATAAACGATGCTCCACTGTATTTTACTTATTTATTTCCTTATTGCGAGTCGTAATTAAAATATCACAGAAGAATTGTCTTAATTAAAACTCATGAAGCTAATGGGAATTAAAAAGTTTATCAAAACAATTTTGAATAACTATGTGTAAGAAAAAAGGCGTATTAAAATATAATAGAACTCGATAATAATGAATACGTATGGAGACCGAAATATGCTCTTTGAAGAAACTATTTTAAAACGGCACACTTTTTACGAATTTTTTATTTCACTATTCACTCACTTTTCAGTGGTTTCTAAAAGGGGTTTTGAACCAAAACCCAATGAACGGGATCTCGGGAGATAAAGCCCTCGCCTTCCTATGATGTGATTCAGGTTCGAATTCCAGCGTTGGCTGGTTGATACGAATTCTGCTCCGGGTTCTCAAAACACCACAAGGCTAATATCTCCTGTGGTATATGGATCATGGGTTAGAATCTTCTTGCCGCCGGGCTAACCGTGGGACCCTTCGTAGTTTTTCGCACCATGTAACGCAAATTTGGGTAAGTTCCATCAAAAAGCCCTTCACGAAGGTTAGTTTGTCACAATACTTCATCAAGGACTTTCCTAGTCTTTTAGGTTGAGTTCAAAATTACAAGACTACGAAGTTGAACATTAATAGTCGTAAACTCGGAATTTGGGTCGGCTGCCTAACGCCGGTTATAAAAAATAAAATGAGGAAACCTAGGTTCGAATTTCAACGATGGCTGGTTGCAACAAATTCTTCCGGCTCACAAGGACCACTGAGCAGTCGTAAAATATCAGCTGTGATAGATAGATCACCTACTAATCCTGGAAAGTTTTTATGGTTTTCTTCTTCATAAACTGCAAATGCGAAATAGTTTCATCAGAAAAGCATTCCACGAAGGATAGTTTGTTCCAATATTTGATCCATAAATTATTTAGTCTTCTAGATTGTGTTTAAAATTTTCAAACCTGTGGAATTGAATACCAAGAGTTCGCAAACCAAAAAATGGGTTAACATTTCAACGTCGTTAATAAAATAAAACAAAATGATCCTTTATAACTTTACGCTCATTGAAAACAGCCTGAAATAAATCCATCAAACTAAGTAAAGAATGAGGAATTTTCTAATTATCCTAAAGATATGTGCACTGACTCCAATTATCTACACAAAAATCATGCGCTTTTCAGAAAACGCTCTTCTAAACTATTTTAAAAATCGACAAATCATTATATTTATTGCCAGAGGCCCTTTCCTTGATATTCCGTGGAATTAAAAATCTTTTATAAATTGGACTCCTTAATTAGGAAGATTCTACTATTATTCTATGTTGCCCCCAGCGTTTATAAGTAGAATAAAAACAGAATCTTCCCTATTAAAGACATTTATTGCAATAGCAAATGCAGTAGTTTGATTCCTCAAACATAAATGTATTTGCTCAGAGAAATTCATTATATCCCACAAAAAACTAAGAAAATAATCCTGATATGATAGTTTTGCTTAGAAATTAGCGAGTTAAAATCCTATTTTTAAATAAATATTAAAATCAAAACCCAAGTCACAATAGTTGCAAAAAAATTTTTCATAGATGTTAAATTTCAAGCGATAATATTTGAAAAGATATTTTCTCCATTTTCCTTACTGGTATTATTGAAATAAAAAATTCATTTTAAAATTTCGCTAGAAATTCCATTTGGAGAGGAATCATAAGTGACTTATAATAAAAATATATTCGAATGCATAAAAGCACCTTTAACTCTATGTGACGTTTAAAATATTATTTTAGCCATAAAAATGGCGTGAACGTAAATTTTGTTTTCAAGTTGGACAAAACGTGTTCCATTTGATGAAAAATGTAAACCATTTTTGTTCTTATATTGGAGAAATCAATATTCAATCATAAAAGAAATTTCCATAAAAGTAACTAAACTCAACACATTTTTGAGCATTGACTTTTATGTGACTTCTTTTTTACATCTTAGACCTTTTTACCACATTAAACCAACTGAATGTACTGAGGTGAAGAAGGCTAGCTTTCATAGACATTATATAAACCAGCCCCCCAGGGTTTTGCGAGGTCCCTGTGTATAAAAGTCCCAAATTTAGGATTACTCTCCTGCACTATATTTTCCAGGCTATATTTAGGAGGTAAGAAATCCGAATTCGTCGAGAAAAAACAGGCATTTTTATTCAGAGAAAGTACGCTTTTGTGTCTGATTTTGAAATTTAAGACATCGTCTGCATTAATTAGTTAGCATAATTGAGTCCACCGTCTTGAGCCATTAAGATGGAGTCCTAGAACGTGCAGATCCGATTATTGCATCAGAATTTATACACCATGGTCCGTTTTTTGTTCTGCTCACTGTACATTTATTTGACTTTATTTTTAACAAGAAATCTAAAATATATATTTGGTGCGGTGATTACGGAACACCATGTATTTTTAAAAGGAGTTATTACTCACCTGAAGTAGTAAAGATCCTTCAGGAAGGTCTATACACACGCAATACTTTTGAGTTGCTTCACATGATACAAATATATACACATCTTCAATTAAACCATACTGGACGGACTCCTCCATAAATCCTGTAGCCTGAAAAAACAAACAAAAACGTTTATATTTCTAACACGAATTAGGAGTGGAAACTTTTTGTATTTAAAGAGGTAATTTTTCATCACTTTTTCATTTAAATTAAGATAAACTCGTAATGGTAAAAATATTAAAAATTTTGAGACGTGCTTGACTCACATCTGGCCAAGCCTTAAAAATGCGATCCAATTTTTGAGGGCTGAAATATGTCAACTGCTATTTCCATTCTGTATAATAGAATTCCAAGCGTAACAGAGGGGAAATCACACAGGTATTTTATCCTAAAAAATGTACTAAATATATGTGAAAGTAAAAAATTGTGCAATAATATGCTACTTTAAGGTGTTATGTTTAATTTAATTGCATAAAATAATAAAAGAGCCTCATAATTTAAATGCCAGGTAATTAAAAGCGTCCGTAACAGAGGAGACAAAGAAAATCCCACATTTTTGACATGCACTGTTATTTCCGCTATATTCTGTGATTTGGAACATCCAAAACATTATTTTTAATTTTTTTTTAATTAACACATTTCAAGGTAAAATAAATTATTATAAGACTTTTTAAATTGTTACACATTTTTATTAACTTCAAAAAATGCAATGTAACAGAGGGGACATTTTGCAAATTTGACAAATAGTTACAGGGAAATATCGTGCCATTTAATTAAACATTGCACCTGAAAGTAGCATATTATTACAAATTTTTTTGTTTTCACATATATTTAATAAATTTTTTAGGATAAAATAACTATGTGATTTCCCCTCTGCTACTCTTGAAATTCTACTACTGGTTTCAGTTGGCATGGAATTCAACCATAGATTTGAAGCGAATGAAATTTTTCGGTCGGAGTTCAGAATTGGAAAAAAGTAGGAATGAAAAAGAATAGAGAGCGAAAGAATAGAAAGAAAAAAAAGGAACGGAAGGAAAAAAAGAATTGAAAGAAAAAAATAGAAAGATAAAAGTAATAATAAGAAAAAAAGAATGGAGAGGAAAAAAGAATAGAAAGACAGAGGAATAGAATGAAAAAAAAATAAATAGAAAGAGAAAAAAATTTAAAAAAAAAGGTTTAAAAAAATAGAAAGAATAGAAAGAAAAAAAATCGAAGGAAAAAAGAATAGAATGAAAAAAGAATTGAATTAAAAAAAAAGAATAGAAAGAAAAAGAATTGAAAGAAAAAAGTAAGAATGATTGAAAATGATTTGAAACTACATATCTTAGCAGTAATGAAAAAACTGAGCATCAATTTGGCAAGTTTACTTTCCTTGATGACAATACTCTTCCTATAACGATTGTTTAAATAAAACTCAGCAACAGATTTTAAAAATAATCCATGATCAAAAAAAAAAAAAACTATCTAAAGAACAGCTCACAAATCCTCATAAATCTTACAAGAAATAATTAAAAAAACATGATAAATAAATTATATTTGCGTTTGTAACTATTAATGATCAGATAGAAATTTGTATTAAATCAAAAAATACGAATAATCCCTCTTATTTCGATGAAAAACCAATGCATTTTAATAGAAACTATAGATTTTTAAACATTAAATATTTAAAAAAACTATAATTTTCATTAAGGTGTATTGTAAGATCTCATCGGATATTTTCTAAATGAGAGGGCTTATTCATATTTATTAATTTCTAAAGCAAATACAATTTGCTTTAGAACGTTTGCAGAGCTATTTAGTTTCCTAGTTCTTTAGTTTTTAAAATAATAAGCACGTCGATTTTGTTGGATTAAATATTAGTCCTTAAATATGAGAAATAATAAGCTTTTATTCCATCAAATGCATTTTTAAAATTTAATAAAATAAAATAAATTGCTTTCGAGCTAACTGTTTCTTACAGCATGTATTTCATGTATTCTTCAAACATGTATTTCACTAGAAAATACTTTATAGAAAGTAATATTTGCTTCTAGAAAAAGTCATATTTTAAGTCATATGTTGTTTAAGTGATTATTTTATATAAATTATTTTATATATATTTTCGTTTATTTATTGAAAAGTTGAATTACACATGCTTGGATATTTTGTGGGTAATTATTTTGAATTTATAGAAAATTATTTTTTTTATTATTTTTATTTCTTTGAAAAGTCTAATATACAATCGATTGATATTTTCTGAGTGATTATTTTGAGTAAGTAGAAAGTCATTTTTTATTTTTCGAAAAATCAAATAACAGAAGCTTGATATTTTGAATGAATGATAATTTTGAAAGTAGAAAGTCATTTTTATTTTTCGAAAAATCAATTAACAGAAGCTTGATATTTTGAATGAATGATTATTTTGAGTAAGTAGAAAGTCATTTTTTATTTTTCGAAAAATCAAATAACAGAAGCTTGATATTTTGAATGAATGATTATTTTGAGTAAGTAGTCATTTTTATTTTTATTCATCTATTTTGAAAAGTCGATGTTTTACACAGGTTTGATATTTTGTGGGTGATTATTTTGAACTAGTAAAAAGTCATTTTTATTGCTATTTGTTTGTTTGTTTTTAAGTCGAATTAAAATTGATTGATATTTTGTGAATGATTATTTTGAGTAAGTAGAAAGTCATTTTTATTTTTATTAATTTATTTTGAAAAGTCGATATTTTACACATGCACATGATTGATATTTCGTGGGCGATTGTTTTGAGTTAGTAAAAAGTCATTTTTATTGCTATTTGTTTTTGTTTTTTTCTAAGTCTAATTACAATTGATTGATATTTTGCGAATGATTATTTAGAGTAAATAGAAAGTCATTTTTATATTTTCAAAAAAATAAAATAAAAAATACAGATACTTGATATTGTGTGAACGATTATTTTGAGTGAATAGAAAGTCATATTTATTTAATGTCAAACTGTCAACTTTTCAAGAAGTTTCAAGGTCATCTAAACACAGCTTCTTCCACTTATATGGAAACATGAGATAAAGAACAAAAAATACTACACTACAAGAAAGAAGAAGCGTTTATAACACCCATTTAAGTAGTACTGCTACACTGAAGTTGATTTGTCTATTAAGTTATTATCGTTTGACGCACACGCGTGCCTACGTTGAGCGAGAGAGACAAAGAACGAGCAAATATAGGCATACTTCTGTCCCTGGAAAGAAAGGGTTAAATGATCTCTCTAAAATTCGAGAAAAAAATCTTTTATTCGCACACAATGAAGCCATTAAGCCTTTCTCATTTCTCTTGAAGGACAACAGTCATCGCGAAATTCATTGAAAGACGGAAGAATAAATTCTGCAAATATTTGCATAATTTGAGGTTTGGGAGGAGAAAAAAAATCAGTTATTTTCGCAGCCTCTGATAATTTAGAAGCAACATTGCGAACCTTGAAAATAACAATTAATGTTAAATAAATGAAATGCAAGAAGTAAAATATGTCTTGCCTTAGATATAGAATGTTTTACTATATTGGTTAGAACACTGTATTAGTGTATTTGTACTATACATATTAGTCAGGGCTCTATCCAGACATTTAGTGAAAGGTCCGTTTTTGTAAAATTGTGAAAAAATTACTCGTAATTTATGAATATGAAATAAACGTTAAGTCACATTCCTTCAACCAGGGTCCTGCTTTTGTGAATTTGTGCAAATAAGGTCCTGTTATTGTAAAAAACTTTTTCAAAAAGTTTTCAAATTGTAAAGGCATACAAGAGTATGCTCAACACTGTAAAATTATAATTAAAAAAATTAAATTTTAAAAAATAAACAGCAATTGCTGCTACTAAATTAGAGATGCAAACATACAAATATTTGGTATTTAGCCTATACTGCTCAGCACAGAATATTCATTTCGGACGAATAAAGGAAGAAGCGTCTGCCGAAGACAAAACTTAGTTCTGTCTTTCTTCCTGGGAAGGGTTTATTCAATTAACAAAACAATAATGAAGATAAACAAATTTGTGAAGGGTCCGATTAAAAGATAAATTATTTTGTGAAGGGTCCGCTTTTAAGTTAAAATATTTTGTGAAGGGTCCGTTTTTATGGACCCAAATTTCTTCTAAACAGACCCCTGTTAGTGTACATAAATCGTATCTTTTATATGATACTTATATACTGATAACAAAAAGACTATTTCCCTAGAGATAGAATGTACTGCCAAGAAATATAGTATTTCACTAGTTAAAATAGAATACTGTCAAAGAATAAAATATTTCTTGACAGAAACATTTGCATTTCATAAGGCATTTGATTATCATTCAACTATTTATTAAGACAGCAACTGTTTAGTATGAAATCTAAAAAGAAAATCATTCCGAATACAAGTAGTGGCAAAAATATAATATCTTATTATACTTTAAATTTATCGTCTCCTATATTAACATAAGCATGATAAACTTGACAAGAAATATTAAAGGTATAAAAACAGATATTCTTTAAACCAACCATTATTTATATGCTTTATAATCCATACACGTTTTGTTTCGACGGTAACTATGAAAAGTGTACAAGCATTTTATAAGTTAGAATTGATTTTTAACGGAAAATGTTAGCTAAGCAAAACGAATATTGGAATGTATAATTAAAAATTGTTCTTTAATTATGCAGAGTCAGGAGATGTTTTGTCAAAAAATGCTGTTGCTTTTATTTTATATTCCATAACTATGTTTTGCAGCGATTTCTCTTTGTTTATAAGTAACTCTAGGTAAACTTTAAATCACATTTAAAGTTTATTTCAGTAATGAAATTTCTACAATTTAATTTAATTCTATTTTATAACCGTCGTTGAACAGCCGACCCAATTTTTGGGTTTACGACTATTAATGTTCAATTCCGTAGCCTTGTAATTTTAAACCAATCCAGAAGACAAGGGAACTCCTGGATCAGTACTCCCACAGCTATTGATTTGTTATGAGAACATGGAGGACTTAGTGACTCGACCGATTTAACGTACATCAGTCACCATTTACGACACTTCGGCCGGCGGGGATCGAACCCACGAACTTTTGAACATGGGCCCAGTGCCTTACCGACCAGACTATACCAGCCTTACAATTTA